AGGGGAGAACGTTCTGCTCTCACTGTTGCTTTGTTTGCGCTCTTCCTACATTGTTGNCCTCTGGCTTCCACAGCTAAGGCATGGGTGGGTATCGAAACCTGGCATCAAAACATCCCAGTAGCCAAGCTGAATGGTCCTCCAAGACCATTAAGCTTTAGCTTAACCGGCCCTCTTGACTATAAGAAGCACACATGCTGAGGGGACTGATTGGAGGGGAGAACGTTCTGCTCTCACTGTTGCTTTGTTTGCGCTCTTCCTACATTGTTGCCATCTATTCAGCAACTTTTCAGACCTTCCTAGCAATTTTTTCTGTTTTCAAAAATAGTGTCAAATGCAATAAGTTTTTTCTATGATGTTTGAGACTTTGATGCAAGTGAAAGCATCCAAGCCTCTCCAGGTTTGAAAGCACTGACAGTTTAAGCATTAGAGGAGCGTGATTCCAGTCTGTTTCCTAGTGAAAGGTTTAAATATTGAGATTTGTTGGAGAATCTATACCTACTGCATAGTAAAATTGTAAATGATTGGACAAAAACTTCCCTAAGCAGTTGGTTTGTAAAATCTCACATAAAAGAAGTGGAAAATCTGATCAAAATATTGCAAAGAGTTGAAGGCGATACCGATTTTAAAGTGACAAGGTCTGGGATTGTTTGAAACAGTGGCTGTTAAAAGGCATCAGAACGTATTGTCTTATATCTGATCAAGGGACACTATACTGTTTTTGAAAACTCAAAGACACCAATGACAGAAAATCAGGACTTTTCCTATACCTCGAACTTAAACCTTATTTTAACAGTGATATAATGATAATGGAAAGTAGTCTTGAATTAGATAACACTGTGATTGATGCATACAAATCTAAACTAAACCAGAAATTTATTACATGAATCTGCTCCCCCTTACAATCTTTCATTGGTTTTTCAAATCTTTATGTTAAATATGGATGGGGAAAAGAAGCTACAATATCATTTTAGAAGATGACAGGCTAAATATTTGCAAAACTTATATTAGCATTTCCAGTTCTGGATATTGGGGAGAATTTTCTTGGAAGAAGATCATTACTTTTTTTTTATCCTCACCAAATTCAACAACATCAGAAATGTCACTCAAATTAGGGAAGGTGCTGGAGAGAGTGTGAAAAATACCTAGGAAGTTAGTAGGTTTTAAGATTAAATCTAATGTCTATACAATTTTGATAATTCTACAGCACAAAGAACTTAAGCTTTAAAATGCCGCCAAAAAATAAAGAATAAAAAAATAAGGACAGCTGTTGTGATTATTATTTCTTATTCAAAACAAACAAAAGAGAAGACAGGAGAGTCTTGATTCTACTAACACTGTGACTATGGAATAGAGGCTGAAGGTTGAATCTATTACCACAACTACTACTACTAAAGAAACTACAAAGAAACTGCTTCGAGAACTCATCCTACTGAACAACTTTGCCACGTGGCAATATCTCACATTTTAATATTATTTATAAACAACAAATAATATCTGCCCTGACCTTCTCACATTTGTAGAATGTCATGCTAATGTCTAAAACAGTGGTGTCCAAATTCAGTCCTAAGAGCTGCAATCTGCCATTTTGAAATTGCATTTTAAGAAAGAAAAACAGCAACAGCTGATTGCAAAGCTGAGCCAAAAAGAACACGTAACTGGCAA